CGTTAGTCAAATGCTATGATTTCTGTTTAATGTATATTGAGATTGAAAAAACAAGTCATGCCATGGGTTTTTCTATGGATCATTGACTGAGAATCAAGCAAAGTTAATAGAAACTTCGATTCGGAATTTTCATTTGAGTCAAACATATGAAAAGTTTACTAGCTAGTCCAGGTGTAACGATAGAACACCCGTAAGATATAATGTTTACAATCAGTCAGTTATATATACATATTTTTATTTTTCTTGCAAGTTCCTATATATAAACACGTATGAATTATTCCTGAATTAAGCTATAATATAAGCCTTACTTGTTTCATCTCATCCGATAGAAGAAATAAACAAGTCACTAACAGCTACATTCTATTACCAAAAATCATCGACAGTATTATCACTGACATTAGTACATGAATGCACACGACAGTTATTTTCACGATATTTACCATATTTCTTCTAGCAGCCAACCATGAACTTAGGTTTCCCTCCTGAGATATTGACAAAAGTATCAGCCTTTCTATCGATTGTAATCACTTGTTTCGTTCTTTCCCTTTTTGCTTGCTCGTTTTTTTTTTCCTTTTTCTTGTTTATCGATCGTTCTATCTAATACTCGTCTAGCAATCATATACACATATTGAGATCATTTAGATGTCGGGAAAACGTAATCCAGAACTTGATCGAGAGGTTCAACAATGGATTGAAGCTGTCATCGGAGAAAAATTCCCGAGTGGTTCTTATGACGATGCACTGAAAGATGGTATCATTTTATGCAAGTATGTTGTTGAATTTTGTTTTTTTTTTCTTACATTAGTTCAAAAGAAATCTTTATTCATATTTTTGTAAAACAATAGATTGATGAATAAACTTCAACCTGGTGCTATTCCCAAGATCTGTACATCAGGTGGAGGATTCAAGTTACGTGAAAATGTTTCAGCTTTTCGTAAGTAATCAAATTATTTTTTTTTTTATTTGGAATAAATTTTGAATAGAAAATGCTGCTCGTGCTTATGGTTTACTCGATGCAGAATTATTTCAAACGGTAGATCTTTTTGAGAAGCGAAATATAGGCCAAGTAACACAATGTATTCATGCCCTTGGTCGGCAGGTGAAGAATAAAATCCATGATTATAATTTATATTTCATTGATTTTTTCTCTTCAGGCACAAAGAAAAAATTTTACGGGACCAACACTGGGTCCAAAAATGTCTGACAGCAATGTACGTGACTTTACGGAAGAACAATTACGTGCTGGACAAAATATGGTTGGTTTACTCAACGACGGAATGAATAAAGGTGCAAGTCAAGCAGGTCAAAATATTGGTCTATCGCGTCATATATAAAGAAAATCAATGACAAGGTTTTCTTTTTTTATATTCTATAAACATTAATTATTTATTTAACCAGTATTCATAGATATATTTGTATTTCTCTTTGAATAGATTGAAAAGTATGTAATAAAGATAACTAAGCTTGTATTTAAAAAATAATAATAATAATACATTAGGATAATTATTTGCAATGAACCAATACATTGGCTACCAACATTATGCAACAAAGTTTATTTTCAATTCTCATCTGTTGTCTTTATCACTCAAAAGAATTCAAACAGTAATTCAAATACAGAAAACATTATAAAATGAGAATATGAGAAAATAATAATGATTATTAAGTTGAGCTTTCGAGAGAACCAAATCGTCATTTCTTTAGCACTCACAACTCGGAAATATAGTCTTGTTCAGACTACACAACAAGACAGAGAAAACAATACATTGGAAAATGAAATATTTTAGACTTATATACGATCCGGTTTTTTTTCGCTGAAATATAACAATTTAATTAAAGATTTCATCCGGAATTTTTTAATTGAAAATTAGAAAAAAAACTCTTTCAAGCGTTTTCGTAAGATTACTATATCTTCATCAGAGATAGCCGTACAGAATTCCAAAATGTTTCATTTTGTAAAGAATTATTGGCACTATCGTGTTGTATAGTCTGAACGAAATAAAAATTTGTTGGTTGTAAGTGCTGAAAAATTGACGATTTGATTTTCTATATATCTCAACTTTGGAAATCTGATAATCATTTTTATTTTTTAATATTCTTCTTTTATACATTTTCTCTATTGGAATCATCATTTGAGTTCTTTGCATCAAGTAAGACAGCAGAAAAGAATTAACAATAAACCTTATTGAATAATTTTGGTAACCACTGTATATTTAGTTATAAAAATCTTTCATTGATGGAATTAAAGTTAAAAACAAAAGTTGACTAAAAATCTATCTTAAAATTTTATTAACAACAAGAATACTAAAGAACTATAATGGTTTTTATTTTGGGTTCAAAGAGTTTATATTTATCTCCTTGTCTTGGATTGTTAATCTTTATTTATCTTTGAACTAGAATTTACCATTGCATCTTTATCGAAAAACCGTTCATATTTTCTGTTTATATGTTGGCAAAAAAAAAAAAGGAAAACAACAAAGTTTTGCATGAATGTTCTATTGACAAATAAAAAAAAAACAAAAGCAAATTTTACGATGAAGTAGGATATTGATAATAAGATGGAGAAAATGAATATGGTGACGTATATCGACTTGAAGCAGCTGCTGCTGCTGCTAATGAAAATGTATTTGTATTAGGAGTCGATGCCATCGGTGCATAAGAAAATGGATAAGTTGAAGTTAATCGAGAATAAGGTGATGTATACAAACTAGGATCATAAAAATGTGATTGAAATTGATTTTCATATAAATCTGTAAATGAAGTTGTTGAATCTGGTATATTGGCTGTACTATTTACAGATGCAATATGTGATGGAGGTATTTGATCATCTTCACCTGAACTTGATTTACGTCGTTTTGATGATTCTGATGTTGAATATATATTATTTCGATCATAATCATCATCAAGAGATCGTTTTGTAGATTTTGTATCTCTATAAATAACAAATATTCTACAATATTAAATCTATTTATAAGTCCTACTTTCGATTAGCATGTCCATTATTTTCACGGAAACCTTTAGCAAACTAATAATATGAAAGAAAAAAAACATAAACAAAAATGAATAGTAAAATTTATGTCAATTAGTCTAGATTTTACTTACTGGATTATGATCAATTTTTAATCGAGTAACCTAGAATATGAATAAAAAAAAAAGAATTTGAAAAAAAAAGATAGAAATATTATTATAATACTTACATCTTCATTTTGATAAGCAGTTACAGCAATAAATTGAGTTTCTGGAAAGACGAATATATTGACATTATCAAATGGTGCCATCGATAATTTCATATCAGTATTAGATGAATTAAAAGCTTGCACAATATGAAGACGAGGAATATATTTATGCATTGAATTAAGTACAATCTAAATTTTCAATTCAATTAAATTTCATTTACAACAAAAAAAAAAGACAAAATTTACGTGTCCATTTTGATCAGCAGTATTATTAGTTAATTTAAGTTTACCAAATGATAATGGTTGTTTCATTAATTGTGCACCAGTTGAATTACTATCTGGATGAGGATAAAATCGACCCGGCACTAATAAAACAACGAAAAAAACAAAATACTCTATCTACTTGATATCAATAACAAAACATTTAACTTACTATGTGGTTCAGCTGCACCAGTAATTATCCATTGAGAATTATGATATTTATATCGATGATTATCAACAGGTATAACATCCATATAAACAATATACTTACTTGTTGGATCAAGTCCAGTCAATGATACTTTAAATGTTGGAAACATACGTCTAAATATATTCATATAAATACGATCTACTCTTGTATTAAGAATTAAAAAAAAACTGAAATCAATTAGTTATTTAACTCATCATTGACGCCAATCGATGAACAGATGCATCTAACACTTCATAATATGAAAGCACATCTCTCATGAGATTGTGGCAATAAGGTGAACACAACATTAGTCTATTCAAGTGACAACAACAATTAAGCTATTTTCTGTTTTTTTTACCTTCCACTTTTTGTTATAATCATTTCTAAATTAAGTTCAGAAAAACGTTTCCATAAATCTAGATTTTCAAGTTTAACATCAATATTCGGATCACTACGTTTTGTTGTGTGAACAAATGTATAAGATGTTCGAGATGTATCTATTCAATAAATATGAATAATTTAAATGAAAATGAAAATTTTATTTTTATTTTTAAATATCTACCAGTAAATGGAGACATTTCATCATAAAAACTAAAACCAAATCCATATGCTGGTGTTGATGGATGACCATAAACAAATGGTACCTGTGATTGGTGAGGATGTGGATGTGTATATGAAATACGTGAAGAATTCAAAAGTCCATTATTATCATCTTCATTTGGATATAATGATTTATTTCCTTCATCTGAAGATGTTGAACAGATTGCAAGTGCCGAATCAGATGATGATAGCTGTGTTTGCATTGATGGTGTTAGGTAGGATAACATGGATGACATAATTCAATTGATTTGTGTTTGTATCTATATACTTAAGTTAAAAATAATTGACATCACAAAAGAGAGAGACAAACAGACAGAGAGAAAGAGAGAAAAATATGTACGTATATGTATATTTTTTTTGTCCAATCAATTGATTCATCCAATAAAATTTTCTTCGTTTAAGGTAGTGAATATTGTCTTCTTCTTCTTCAATAAACATTTAGACCATTTATATTTATTGCAATTGCAACTATTACTACTCTATAAGCATACGTTTTTTTTTTTTTTATGATGTGTGACTATAATCGTTTATGAATAGAGAGGGAGAGGGACAGAAAGAGAATCATTGAAAAAAATTTCAATATTGTTTTGTGATGATGTGATCAATACTCGAGAGAATTTATATCTAACTAGTGTGAAAATCCCATTTGAAATATTAAATTAACTATGCATTTGCGTTTATATATGCTTTGACAAGTTTAGTTTTTTTTTTTTCAAGAGTCTAATTATTTTATTTTAAATATAGACCTGTACAAGAAAACTCTGTTTTTTTTTTCTATATCAAAAAAATGGTGTATTATAATTATTTGTTGAATACACTGAAGTTGGATAATATCCATAGGAAGAAAAATTCATTGCTGATCCGGATGTTGATCCCATATAAGAATATGTTGGATTGTAGACCATGGATGATGATGAATCATTTGGATAAGAATTGTATGGAAATTGATGATGATATATTGAAGGAAAATTCGAAATTGTTGTATCACTGTTTTGTTCTTGATCACCAATACTATTATTAATATATGTTGATGTTGTCGAATCAGCAACAGTACTATGTGATGGTGGAGAATATGAATTTGATGATAATAATGAAGAATCATTTTTACATAAATGTTGTTGTTTTTCATCATATTTTGTTGATTTATTTAATGAACAAGTTGATTGAAGACGTTTGAGAGATTTTGAATTATTCCTATAATAAAACAAATTATAAAAACATTTCATATTTTGATTTTCAAAATTTTTATTTACTTTTTTCCATGTGTTGGTTCACGAAAACCCTTTGCAAATGGATTATTATCTATTTTTAAGTTTTTTATCTAAAAAGACAAATTTAATATAATGTTTTTCATTGAATTTTATTTAAATCAACCTGATCATTTTGATAAGCAGTGACAGCAATAAAAATAGTTTCATCAAAAACAAATGTACTTAAAGGACCTGTTCGTATTGAATAATCATCTGATGCTTGAACAATATGTAAACGTAGTATATATCGATGCATTGAATTTATAAGAATCTTTAATAACAAAACCTTTAAAAAATTCCAAAATAAAGATTATGAAAATTTTTACTTGATTAGAATTTTGCATTGGATTATTTGTTATTTTAACTTTATTAAAAAGAATAGATTGTTTCATCCATTGTGCACCGGTTTGTGGACTATCAGGATGAATGTAATAACTATAAAAAAAAAAAAAGATTCAATTTCAAATGCTTATGAACGTATATTTTGACATTTTCTTACCGTCCATAAATATGAGGTTCGGCTTTGCCTGAAATAATCCATGCTGATTCTTGATATTTATATCGATTATCATCGACTGGAACAATATCTAATAGAAACATATATTTAGTATTTGGATCAAGTTCGCTGACGGTAACACGAAGATTTGGAAATAATCGACGACCATTTCTATATAACAAGTGAATAAAATAATAATAGTGATAGTTTAAACGTACTTAGTTATAATCATTTCAGTTCCTAATGAATAAAAACGTTTCCATAAATCTATTCCTTCAAGTTTAACAGAAATTTTTGGATCAAGTCGTTCTCGTTTTATTTCTTAAAAATAACAAAAAGCTATTTACGAAATCATTCAAACAATAATTATTACCAGTACAACCAAAATAAGTAGCCGGATCATTATGTGTATTTGTTGTTGGATAGAATGAATTATACATATTAGCTGCAGCAGTGAATGCAGCCATTGAAGCATAAGCAGATGAAGCAACAGCAGCACGTTGAAAAAAATTATTATTATCGAGCATTGTTATTCAAAAGATAATTTTCACAAGTACACACTCAAATAATCACACACTTCTTTGACACAAGGACAACTAAACAAACTAAGTAGTTTCAGTTTGTTTCCTATTGATAATAAAACTGAAAAAAGTTGTTTGTTCCTCTCTCTTTCTCTTTCTCTTATTCGATTACCTACCAATCAAATACAAGAGAATAAGTTGGCTCAACTTTTTTTTTTCTATATGTATGATATTGAAAGTGATGAGGTCTCAACAATGACAGAAAGAAATTTCAGTTGATTTTTAACTCCAACACTTAATGAAATAATTTATATAAGATTATGTTTATATCTTTATATTTGTTGATGCAATCAGACAGCTATCTATTTTACTTAATTCGAATGAGTAGATTGTCTATATGTTACTTGTTGATCTAATCATCAGTTAAATCAATATTCAATTATGCCAGCTGTATCTGTCACTTTATACCTTATTAAGTGTAAACAAGCTGGATGTCATCTAACAATAAACGAACGATTAGCTCATTAAATAAAATGAGAAGAAAATAAAAGAGTGAGATCGTGAGAGAATTAGATAATATACAATGAGCCTATTGTTCCGGTTTGATAAGGTGACAAATGAATTATATGACACGTAGATTACTTTTAAAGAACTATTCAAAATGAGGATGTTCAAAAATCTGAAAAAAAAAATACGAAAAATGAAGGCAACTGTTATCTCGGTTCTTTTTTGAGAATCACAACTAATTGTGATCTGTATTGACTTGTGTATCGGCTTTTCTTTTCTAGCAATTGGCAGTTTGCTTTTTTATCACCTTTTGACCTGTTGAATATATAAAACAAGATTTAAAAGAGATGAGTCGATTTGACAGCATTGCATAACAACCTGATGGCAATAATAAATATATGATGCTTGCCTATTTACGCATATGGACTAATTTTTTCTTTTTTCTTTTAATAATCAGATGTTCACTATACAACAATACAATTTATAAAAACGAACCATTAATAAACGATGAGAAAACAGTTGCAGGGCGTTTAGCTTGATCAGCCATTATTAAATAGACTATCTGATGCGACCTTGTATAGATAAAGATCATCACACAGCGATTAATTTTACACCTAATTATAGATTTTTTTTTTCGTTTTTTTCCGATCGATGCAATACTCGAAAGCAAAAGTCACACAAATGAATAAGTGTGGGTGTAAAGAGCTAAGACCAATTTTTCAAAATTTAATCAATTAGAATATTTTAGATTGAATGTGCTAAGAGAATCATCATATTTAGGTAGTTTCGTAAAAAAAAGAAAGAGAACGAAAATGAAAACAAAAACATTTTTTAGAAGAAGCTCAGTTATTTTTTTTTTTATCAATCGATCAGTTTGATGCCGCATCTCTTTGACAAATGTGTATGTTACTGAAATTGGAATCAACAAGTTGCTTGCTGTTTTAAGCTACCTTCACCTTTTTTTCTTCGATCCGTTACCGTTGCTGCTTTTTTTAACACGGTATCTTGCTTTGATCTTGTCGGGTATTAAAGTTGCTTTAAAATAAAAATCTAAAAAGTTCGAAAAATGTGTCAATTTAATCGTTCATTATATCACATGGGCATAACAGAAGAAGAAAAGCGGGAGAAAACAATTTTTATTTTCTCTATACATATTTTGAACATATGAAACTCTTTATCTTAGACAAGGATAAAAATTCTAGAATATAGATATATATATATTCCGATATTCCGATATGAAATTGAAAGTTTATTTTTTGAAAAGATTATTTTTCTATGCTTGATTTCATTACTTCAAGTAACAAATGAACTCAATTTCAAATGTATTAAGAAACTTAGACCATTTTTTATGCACAATCGCATTCTCGGCATGCTCACTATTTTGATATTATTACGTCGTGCAAGCGAAGCAGACTAACAATTGATCTTTCAGCATTATTCGTCCTTCATTCAATCCACAACATGTATACAGTAGTCTCATTACGATCGGTTTATCACCTTCGAAGAATAAAGTATAGAAACAATTGTTAATCGACAAGCAAATAAATAGTTAAAACGAATCGTATGCTTAAGAGCCAATATGAGTAGAAAAAAAATTCTATCTATTTGTTGTTTCTTTCTCATGTCCTACAGTCCTATCTTTATATCGAGGTGTTCTTTTCGCAGCTAGAAACGGACCCTCAAGCAACTATCATCACCCACAAAAATTCACGGATCGATGACTTATCGTTGATCATCTCTACTAGTAGACTTGTTCAATTAAACAACTGAATAGAATGAACACTAACTGTATTGAAGAGACAAAAATACGAATGATTGACCGTTTTACGTCACATATCTACTTGTTCGTCGTATGAGTGAATATTCTACGAGATAAAAAATGTATCCTTTTTTCTTCTCGACAGTTTAACACCATATACCATTCTCAGTTGTTTCTGAAACTCGCCGTCTCGTATGTGCATTATGAGGTGTTGATATCAGCTGAATGGCTGGCGTGTGTCAAGTCAAATGTCGATAGAAACATACTTCTTTCATCTCTAAATGTTTGACGCGCGCATATACATATAAGAATTTGTGTGAACAAATTTTACGCCTCGCCAGAAAAAAATGTCGTTATTATGTAGAAAAGTCTTTCATTTGAATATTTATATTCAGTAAAGAACAATAATTAGTTCAATGAAATGTATCTAGTTCAGGCTATCATATTTAGTTTTAGATAAAGATTAAACTTTCTTCATCCCAATAAAAAATTCAAGTTTTTATTGTGTTAACCTTGAATAACTGTGTTAAGTTTAGTTTGAATGATTTGATTCAATGTTTGGTTTACTGAAGTCCATCAAATGGCATTAGAAAGGCTCATAAGCTTTAATTATGTTTAAAATTTAACACTATTTCATAACTTAAAAAAGAAATAGGAGTGAATTGAATACTAATGAAATCTAGAAGTTCAGAAAGATCATGACGTATTAAATAAATTTTTCCGATAATTGATCTATCTAATCGGACTTGAATGAGTTTCGTATATATTCTATATATTGAAATGATTGCAAGATTATTTTACAATAGTGTTGAAATATAAAAAAACCACATTACATAGTCTAGATATCGATAAATACGTCTTTTGGAAGAAACTAGAAGAAGTAACAATTTTGTCCTTCAACGTAACCCCAAGACTACTCTAAAGCTATCGTCGTGAGTTTGGTAATTATATCAAGACTACTCTCAATCTGTGTCATAATACTATTGCTTTAAACTTATTCTATATAAATCGTTCCGATAACTAAGCTCTATAATTTTTTATGAAAAAGATCCCTTTAGTCATTATCTCAAATAGATATTGAAAACTTGTTGAAATGACTTAGTTATTTTGTTACAAAATCCGATATTATGCATTAATTTGGATATTTTTTACAATAAATTAAAAATGTAATTGAAATCATATACTTTTAATAGGAGAGAATTACTTGAACTATCTTTATTTTCGAGTGTTCATATCGTGACTACTTATAATAATTCTCTTGAGAGATACATGTAAGTTGAAATTTGTTTCTGCTTAGGTTCTAAAAATCATTCAATGTTTTTGCAAACTGTAGAATTATTTCATAGTGATAAAGTATAGCTGCCGTTCATATTGGAACTGCAANCTTTTGGAAGAAACTAGAAGAAGTAACAATTTTGTCCTTCAACGTAACCCCAAGACTACTCTAAAGCTATCGTCGTGAGTTTGGTAATTATATCAAGACCACTCTCAATCTGTGTCATAATACTATTGCTTTAAACTTATCCTATATAAATCGTTCCGATAACTAAGCTCTATAATTTTTTATGAAAAAGATCCCTTTAGTCATTATCTCAAATAGATACTGAAAACTTGTTGAAATGACTTAGCCATTTTGTTACAAAATCCGATATTATGTATCAGTTTGGATATTTTTTACAATAAATTAAAAATTTAATTCAAATCATATACTTTTAATAGGAGAGAATTACTTGAACTATCTTTATTTTCGAGTGTTCATATCGTGACTACTTATAATAATTCTCTTGAGAGATACATGTAAGTTTAAATTTGTTTCTGCTTAGGTTCTAAAAATCATTCAATGTTTTTGCAAACTGTAGAATTATTTCATAGTGATAAAGTATAGCTGCCGTTCATATTGGAACTGCAACTAGTATCTACCTATATCGCAATAAATTGAGATGGATTTGTTCAAGATAAATAATAACTTATCGACGCTTCATATATAGCAATGAAATGAAATGAATTAAGAGATCGAGGGCTTTTTAAGAAACAACTGAAACATTAACAAATAGGTGAGTCAATTCATTGAATCGATATCAGTCATGAAAAATTTCGGTTGATTATCTTTTCTATACTATAGTCAAAATGAAAAGTCATTGTCTTGATTTCGACAAAAAAAAAACAGATTTGAGTCGCTTTTACAACTTGACTTCGACTAAGGTGGCACTTTAACTTAAAAAAAAGTAAAGCTAAAGTAATTTTTTTCAGTTTTTAATATTCGTTTTTTTTTGTAATAGTCTGCAGCAAAGAATATTGCAAAAGTCTCGAATTGTTGTACTAGATAGATATTATATTGGAGTTACACGGTATTCCTAATGGAAAGATTCAAAGATATTATATCGCTCATTTTGATTTTATCATAGCTCAATGTCTGATGAATGAGATACCCGATAGCTGAGCAGATTTATTTGACGTAGAATGTTTTTCTCTATCGGTAAATATTTAAAAAATCTTTGATGTTTGAGTCCTTATTCAATTGATTCAGAATTTCTATTACGGTTTCAATTTTCATGTTTACGAAAAACTATCATTTCTAAACACTAGCTTCTGTCCATGTTGCATTTTGCACAACGTGAGATAATCGTAGATTAAAAATAAAATGATGACCGGTGACACATTTCAGTAAAATAAATCAATTCTTATTTCTACATCGAAATTTATTAATGCTAAGCTAAGAGAATGATTTTCTTCATCAATT